ATTGTTACACGAGATTTTTATTAAGAAAAACATAATAAATCTATTTTTAGAAAAAAAAATCCTAGCAAAGATCCCATATATTTTTAAAAACATCCTATTTATATACCATTCGCAATTTACAGAATTGAATTTGCTCCGCTAGAGCGAGAGTTAGAACATTTTAAAAATATGCGGTTTTTATTATAAAATTACTATGATAAATTTTTTTAATAAATTGATCGACAAAATTTTAGTAGGCCAATCATATAGTGCTGCACTATGATAGTAAATCAAATACCCCAGTCAGCCATTGAATTTTTAGCTCCGGATATCCCAATAGTACCTGTTTCCTATTTTATTGGTTAACGTCAATATTTTTTGGCTCAGATTTAATGATCTAACGTTTATATTAATTAATATTGTATAGAAGTTAATTAGATACAAATATGTTTAAGCATAAATAGATACGTGTAATTGATTAATTAATTAATTAAAATTATGAAGTCTAATGAATATTTTCTTTGTGGGATACCAATATACGTAATAAACAGATAATATGTGGTGTTGCTTAATTAATAATATATCTTTGGTGGTAACTCGTCTCTAGCAAAAGCAATAATTAAATATAGAATTTTATAGAATAGCTATATAATAACTGATAAATAAATGTTTCAAGATAGTAATCACACGAAAACTTACATAAAGTATGATTAATTTTTCGTATTAAAGATTAAATATACAATATCTCGATTTAAATACTTCTAATTAGGGTTCTGCAAACCCGGCACATGCAAAAATGATTAAGGCACGGGCATAACTTGATTTTAAAATTTGGGCGCAGGAACGATATAAGCAGACACTTGCACCAATATTAGTGCCCAACACAATACCGGGCATAAACGATTGGGGTGTACGACATCAGCCTAATTAAAATATAGTGCAGGTCAGGTCATATTGCTGTAATGATGATCACTAATCAAGATTTTTTAGTGAACTGCAGATCAACGATAATTTAATGTGGCAGATCATAATGAAATCGGATTAAAATGAAACTGGGGACCTTTCTTGCTCATCTTTAAAGCTTATAAAACCCACTTATACTCTTTTATTAATAAAACTAACTCTAAACCCTAACTTTAACACTAACCCTAACCCTAAAAAATGTCCCCCAAAAAATTTTAAATTTTCCTAAAAAAATAGAAAAATTTCATTTTAATCTGATTTCATTTTAATCTGCCACATTTATTATAGTAGTCTGACCCAGTGATGGCGCATTGTCATTTAAAAATAAATGACATATTGTCATATGACATGTCATTTTTGTCATTATGATTATTATTGACATTTATAGTTTAGATGATTTTTATTAATCATTCATTAAAGAATTGAACAACTTGCAAGCCAATTATCACGTTCAAATTGATTTAATTTCAACTACTAGCCTTTAAGATGAATGCTTTAATTATATATGTTATAATGAGCTAAATCTTTTCTTTAGGGTATAAACAATTTCACAAATTGGATAATATTCCTTCAAAGCTACAGTATAAGCATGAAAAAAGTTATACATGCACAATTATTGTCAAAAATAATAGGTACAGTCATCCTCCTCTATAGTCACCTCTTATATAATCACACCCTCTTTATAAGCACCATTTTTTGAAAAATTATTGGCAATATATTTATTAAAAAAACTCTATATACCGGTAATCACATTACTATTAAAGTTTTATAATCACATCTTTTTTATGTAAAACAAACAGCGTGATTATAGAGGAGGACGACTGTAATATAAAACACTGCAAATATAAACAGCAAATTTGCCTAGCAGAAGTGGCTGTCATTCCAAAAACACGCTTGTAATGATAGTGTAGGTAGAATAGATGACCAAAATACATGCATAAGTTTATTCAAATTCTTTAAACTAAGATTTTATTTCAACTTAAGTATATTTAGAATCAGCTTAAGTTGATTAAATATAGCAAGATTCCATTCCAGCACACAACAGTATTATTGTCATCTAATGTCATTTATAAAAATATTTTTTATGACTTGTCATTTTGCCATGATTTTGCATTGATTTTTTTTTTTATAATAAATGACATGCCATTTATATTCATTTTCATAAAAACTTTTATGATTTGTCATTTACTTTCACTGGTCTTACCTATCTAGAAAACCTTTACCTGGGTTATTCGGCAGAGTAAACTATAAGTATCTGTGTGTTTAGGTGGAAAATCAAATTCGATAATTGAAAAGACATAATCCTAACAAAGTTACCGATGTTAGATATACTGCTGGAGTCGAGATAATGTCTTTTCTGGAAACTTAACAAGTTACTGGTATTAGCTATAATGCTAGGAGGAAAGTTTCCGACAAAATATGTACAAAATCAACAATACTATTGTATTAATTAGTTCGTTAAACTCAATTTTATGAGACAGGGTTTATCATTCAGCTCTAGCATTCCAATATACTAAGATAAATTAATGAATTATTTGACACAGTCCATATACTGTATTTAATTTATTATTAAAGCTTTTTTGATTGAAAGAGAAAAAAAGTACACAGTACAAGAACATCCGAAACCTTAAACTGAGAAATCAAGAAAATGTGTCGAAGGATGATCTTAAAGACAATTTCATATTAAATATTTAAAATTTCCAGCTTCAGCCGCGACAATTATTGAATTTACCAAGCTTTCTTTTTTTGCTCATATTACATATACTTTGGTTACCCGCAAACTTTGGTAAATTATTATTTACATGATAATTATGTTCATATAACATCACATATCAGTTCTTCACAACAGGGTCTTGTGTGCTGCCAATGGAAACTTATCACCGGGTTTACTTCCTAATGCTAAAAAATTAGGACTGTGTCCGGTAAAAAATAAGCTTGAAACCTTGATTACAGTACCCATTTTCGGGGTTGCTAAGAAGGAAGTAAGCAGTTAATCGTAAATTTAAAAGGCGAAATAAGCTTCAATATAGTAAAATATACAGTAGAAGAAACGATAGCATCTCTCGAATAGATAATGATCAGCATCTACCAAGCGAGAATAACCTATTGTAAAGGAAGATAACCAGCATCCCACTAAGGGAAGTGGTAGGCTTGTCGAATTAATTCTAAAATAAGTTCATTGGTTAGCAAATTTAGTAAAAACGATTATGTACAGTAGATTTGATTTAAAAATTTTAGTTAAATAATCAGTCGACTGACTAACTTTCAATTAACTGCATAATTATTAATCAATCGATCGACAGATTACAAAAAACTTTAGTTGATTAGTCGACTAACGATTTTATTATTCCTAACACCCCTACTTTTGGTAACAGACTCTCCAATGAATTGCAAAGTGCACTTCAAAATTTTTTTTGTTATAATATTATAATTTTTAGAATCGGTTAAATCTAACAAACTCGCGATTTCATGGTACTTTTAAAATTTTATTTTTCGTGTATTTGGACCATTTTGTATTAATTTAATTCAAAAAAATTTTTATGCATTAAAGTATATGTAATTTAGACTGATAATTGTATACATAAAAATTAACATTAATACTTAAAGTATTTTTTTCAGTAGGTTATGAAATCTTTGGGAATCTTAAATTATAAAATTTATTTCAGTTTAAATTTTCTTTCCTTTCACCAAAAACCATTCAAACGTATGTTCATCTTTTTCGATTTTTTTTGACAAATTAAATGCAACTTTTGAGCTAACATTCTCAAGCATACCAGTTGCAAGAAATATTTTTTCTAATTCTTCAGGATAAAATCCGCCCTTGTGAGATAAGATATGGTCCCTGCTTTCCCCATGAAACATATGGTCCTTACCTCCCCCATGAAACATATGTGAAATTTCCGGTTGTTTTTTCAAATCTAGAACAATTAATTCTCCACCTTGTTTAAGGTAGCTGGCTAGTACTCTTGTTGTCGATTCAACGTCGTCAATATGATGATACGCTGACGCACACTTTTTGAAATGTTTTAAAATTTGGTTCAACGAATAAAATATTATATCAAAATCAATTTTGTTAGCAAAATATTTACCACAATAAGATCGAATTTTCGTCCATTTAATTGGTCACCTTCGGATTCTTTTAGCTCTGAACAAATTGCCTGCATTTCTTCTTTATCAATTCCTTGTTCCAAAACCTTTTTATTATATTCATTCACCATATTTTGCGACAAATCTACTCCAAGGACAGATTTTACATGAGCGCATAAATCCTGAGATATTAATCCTATTATTTTATATTGTAATTATATTGATTTTATAAATCAAATATTTTTTTATTTCTCATTGAAATAATAAATTATACCAGTTCCGCAAGCAAAATCCATAACTTCATACCCTTCGGGATCTTTAACCTCTCTCAAAATTGCTTCTGCGCATTTTTTTGCACAAAGAACACGGGCAGGATGTGTATCGTACGTTGATGCATCTTTATTAAAATATTCTTTGTTACTTTCCGTAATACTTGATACTTCGCTTGCTTCCATTTAGAAAGACAGACCGGTGCTATTAGCAGTTAGCGTTAGTACGCATGTACATATGAGTGCGGTCAAGGGAAAACATCCACATCTTTTGTGGAATTGATTTATATAGCTCCGAATAACATAATTCTAAAATATGCTATTCAATCAGTTGCACAAATAATGTCACCCATATCTGATATGATATTAAGATCATCACAAATATTGTCAAAATCTCTGATTGGACAGATTTTCAATCTCGCAGTACCAGGTACGTTGACGTACGTACGTTCATTCGTCTTTCTTTTACGTACTAGTTATCAACTTGGCAAAATGATCCGACGCTCGAAAAATGTTTTTTTGTTCTTTATAGCACTGGTGCTTATATGTCAACTATTTACGAGAATAGCGATTGCCAAAGGTATGTAACTACTTGACTACTTATTCTAACGTTCAAACAAGATTATAAAAATATTATATCGAACATTAGATGAAATAGATGATTGGGACGAGGAAATCGAAATAACCGAAGTACCCATTGAGCCTGTCTCTGAACCTCCTAAGGAGGAGATACATGAGCCTAAGCCTCTTAACATCAAAGGTTTATTTTTATTTTTATTTTTTTTTTATTTTTTTATTAGATCTATATTTTTCAAAAGCCCCTAATTTTCATTATTACTATTATTAAAGTATATCCAAAACTTGTTTTATCCGACTTTTACCGTGAAATGGTAATGATCGCGATGATTATTGTATATCTTATTGTTTATTTCATTGGCAAACGGGCCAATGAGGCGATTGCAGTAAAATGGTAAGTCTTTACTTTTTTTATATTCTCAAGTTAAGCATTCACAGTTTATAATTTGATTAGTTTGATTAATATGATATTTATTGATTTATAGGATGGAAAAACATATTGTTCTTCTTAGAGAGAATTTTTCCCTTGTTGGAAATGATAATGGTGGCGTTCTTATACAGGATGGTCCAGCTGAATATCTTTTCTACTTGAGTGGTCGCAGAAATTGTCAGTTTATTCATGGAAAAATAACGGTTTGTAATATTAAACTTCATTTTCATAAATCTATTTTTTTATGAACCTTTCATTGACAATGTTATAATTGGCAACAGCTTAAGCCACGACATGATATGCTTCAAACTATTACAAATTTGATCACATCTCAATTTAGCAGCAAACCGGTAACAGACACTGTTGTAAGTATTTTATTATGAAGGTTAGTTAACAATTTTCATTATTTTCATTATTTTCATTAAATAATTCCAATACAACGTTTCCTTAGACTTATAATGTAACCATGAATGATGGTGCTTACGATGACTTTGTTTTCGGTATCACAAAAAAAGATCGCGCTTCCGATCTTCGTCAATCGCGTTACGATTTGGTAACGTTTACGTTTTTTTTAATTTTTATTTATTATATATAGTACTATGATGAGTATGATGAATGCTAATTATTTCTTTATGATATTTAGAAAACTTTTACCAAACAAAGTAACAATAATCTTCTCCCAAGCGTTTTTAGTGTTCACAGTGAATCTGTGGAAATTACTGATAGAATTCTTGAAAGCAATAAAGTTATTGAATTGTTGAATGCATCTTCTCAATATCTGACGCATATAATAATTTCTGATCAAACACGAATTCGTCCAGAAAAGTATATTTTCTCAAAGCTTGTAATAATGCTTATCATTATTAGTTTTATCATTTTACTGATAATGTTTTTGGTATATATAGGATAATTGAAAATAAACAAAAGCTTTTTACTGTTATGCATGAACTTCCAAATGACGCATCAAAATTTTCTGATATTACGATTATAGCGGAACTGGTTTTGACATTGATTGATTTGATTCCTGCTCGATGTACTTTCAGAGCTGAGGTATGTTAATTATCTTGATAATGTATGTTTATAAAATATTATTAATATGATATGTTGGTATTTAATGATTTAGATTAGGCAAAAACTTAACAAAAATAGAGAAGAAGCTGACAAAGTCATACAAAAAAATTTAGCAGCTGAAAGACAAGAAGTGCGTTTTTGCATTAAAATCTATTAATTATTATTTAATATTGATTTATTATCCTTTACAACCGATCTAATTGGATCGTTTTTCAATATTTTTCAATCTAGGAAATTCAGCAAAAAAAGGCTGACAAAAAACGTGCTGAAGCTGAACGTGTAGCTAAATTGTCTCCCGAAGAACAGCGAAAGGTAATTTCAATTTATATAGTATTTTATTTTGTCAACTCAACATTTTATTTAGCATTTAATCGATAACTCATATTAGTACGAAGAGAAAGAACGAAAGAGAGAGTTGAAAAAAAAGCAAAAGAAGCTGGTTAAAAAAGTATAGATTTTTATTATTCGCATCTCAACAAGCTATATGTATCTGACATTATACATATGTTTATCGCTTGCGAATACAAATGCTGATATAACTTTTTGGAATGTAAAATTTAATCCATGAACATTACTGATAAGCTTTTTAATGCTTGTGTTTTGTTTTAATTCATTAAAAATGATTTTACTACTCTTCACGTTTATATTGATAATCAAATTTTCGGTTATCAATACCCTTAAAATAAATATAATATTTACAATTTAATAGTTTTGCATATAAAATATTGAAATTTTAATTAATCAATGTTAAAAAAATTAAATACAAAGATGTACATTGTCACATATTTCTAGGGTACTTATAATAAAAATTGTGATAAAAATTTAAGTTATTGCGTAGGGGATAAATAAAAAATATCTGGTACAGTCGTAGCAGAAATTGAGTCGTCAGGGTCACAATATACTTAACGGATATTAGTCCATTAAACTGTATCAATTTTTTTTACCCTCATCAGTCATTGATTATGCCAAAAAAGCAAATGCCAGATTATAATATCGCATAATAGTTCCACAATCTGTTGCCGACTTACCAGTTGAAAAATAATAATAATATAGTCTAGGTTAGTCTTTTATCAATTATTCATTATATTTTTTTTCTACAGAATTATGATATGTCATCAGTTCGTTTGACAAAACTTATACGTAGAACCGCTGCTAGATTGCAATCAGTTGACCAACATTAAAAGATCGGTAATAATTGGCCTAAAAAACTCCTAACTTTACCGTAATTTTACCCTAACCCTAATCTAACTTAGGCCGCACGACATAAATAAATCAATCAAAACAAACTTGAATTCTATTTTTGATATTTTTAAATGCATCTCTTCTGAGAAAAAGCAAATACACGTGATCTCTTTAAATCAGACACCTAAAAGAAAACAATACAATGTTTTGAAAAAGATGCACCAATCAGATCTCTTGATTCGTGTAATGCAAAAATTTTGTTTAAAAAACCACCTCAACAAAAAATTCGTTAATACATGCTTCTGTTAGATATTATATTTATATTTAAAAAAAACAAACTTATATTTATAACCAAAAAAAAAAACCGTGCCGAAAACGAACATCAGCGAAAGTGGTAACAGCGAAGCAAGCACCAACGAATGGCGACACCAAAGACGACCACCCGTGAAATGGCGGCAAAGAAGACCACCCGTACCAAAGACGACTACCGCAAATTGCGCACTAAAGATGACCACCCGTGAAATGAGTGCACGAAAACTCTTTAAGGTATATGTTGTCGAATAATAATTTTATAGTATTAGTGCACTATGATGAATTATAATATGTTCGACGTTTTTTGAGTTATTCAACTCGGACATATTTATATTTTTGGGAGCCGGTGGTATTTAAACTAGATAGGTATACCGTCTGGGAAGTAGTATCCTTGGAGTATGTTTCAATGTAACTATACTTGCCGGCCAAACCCGGACAAATCCCAAACCCCTAAAAAATAATTGCTATTTATAAAAAAATAAATCAAAT